TTATTTGCTTTTCCTTTTTTTAAATACTTTCTATTATCTATTTATTTTAATTCACTTAATTATTTTACTTTTTCGTTGCGCTGCTTTGGTTTGCTTTGCTTTAACTTGCTTTGCTTTACTTTGCTTTGCTTTTATTTACTTCACTTCACTTTGCTTTACTTTGTTTTGCTTTGCTTTGCTTTGCTTTGCTTTATCAAAAAAAGTTCGAGAAAAAGATCTTGCTAAGTTCGCGGACGCTTCGTACTTAATCGCCTGTTAAATATTTGCAAAAGAAAAAGGCTTTCGAATTAAATAAAATTTATTAGCTTGCATTCAAATCAATAACGACGACGAAGATTATAAGAAAAATAAAAATAATACTTATTAAATAGAAAGGGCTTAAAAGAAAGCTTGAAGAAGATAAATAAAAAAAACAAAAAGATTCGCCGTCGATTCGATTTGTAGCATCTCTTGACTCAATTCAAAGGACACGCAGTAAAATAAAATATTCGTAGCTTAATTGAGAATGAATAACATTATTATTATATATATATATATATATTATTGCAATGTTGTAAGCAATGTTATAAGCAATATAAGTGTCTACGTTCCCCGCGGTTTTTGACGTTGAAGCGGGACATAATTTTTTCGCCCACTTTAGGGAAGGGCCCCAAAAGTGGCGACGTCAAGTCCCACTATTATTTCCGATGGGGAAAAAAAAGAAGAAGCTATATTTTACGATATTAGCTGCGTTCAACTAACGGCTATATATATATACCTATATACATATATATATAATTCGATAATTAAATTGAGCTCGGATCCTGTACTTTGTTCGAGTTGCAAATCGCATCAATTCTAGCTGATCTTTTGACATTCCGAACGAAGCCTCTCAAGCTTAACGGTCGATGGGCTGCAAGCTTGCTGCGAGTTTTCATTTACCAAAAAAAAAAAAAAAAACAATCTTTTACGTGATAAATATTATAATTATGAAAATAGATATTTGATATTTGATTATCTAATTGTTGTTGTTATTGTTATTGTATTTATTAACGTCGAGCGGGTATCCAAAACGCAATGCTTGGACCTTAAAGACCTTTTATAAAGTACGGCGACGTGCTAAGTAAAGGAATTATATATAAAGTATTATTTAATCGAGAATAAAAACTACGTTAAGGAAAACCTTTCGTCAAATAGTTAAACACTTATAAACCTTTTAAAAGCAATTCATAATGCTATGCGTCGAGTTTTTTTTCGACAACTATCGAATACGTATAGCTTTATAAGCGGCTTCGATCCGTATAATACAAACATCGTTTTCTTTTATCGTAGAGCTAAAAAGGCTCGCGTTCGTAGCTTTTAAATAAAGCTAGTATATTTGTGTTGTGCGGAACAAGCATGGTTCCACCCAAGCTACATGTAACATGTTATATGACCTCGCCTAGTAGCGCCTTTAGCACACTAAAGCTCTTAAGTATATGTATATAGATCTTGACGAGCTTTTTAAATAGAATATACTAAGCTTTATTTAATTTACAGAATCTCTTTTTAATCTTAATGCTAATAAGCATTACAGTTAAGAGCTATATTCGCACTTACGAGCTATTTAGTTAGTCTTTAACAACTTTCGAATTAATCGAGAGCGGATTTTATAAGTTACTTTAACGCTACTTTACTATAACTTTTATTTTACAATCTATCTTTTTTCAATTATATTTATTCTTTATAACTAACACTTACTACTCTTAAGAACTCTAATCAATTTTTAAAAGCTTTAGTTATAAAGTCAACTGCTATAATAATAAACAACAAAGTAAAAAAGGTCTTTTTGATCAACAAAACGAACTTTATAAGTCGTAGCGACTTCTTAAAATAGATTACGAATTATAAATACTTTATCAAGCGCTTTAGTATAAAATAATACGCATCTTTTCGTATTAACGTAAAAGAACTTGCTCTTTTTATCGAATAAATTAAATTAAAAACGAAGTCTATTATAAAAATAATAACGGAGCTTAATAACGAATAGTTCTAAAAGTAAGACTGTTAACGAAAAGCTTAAAAAGAACTGCACTTAAAAGCTTTTGCAAACGATTTTAATAGACTTTTAAAGCTAAAAGACGCTAAGTTCGAAGACGTTCGAAAAGCGTATAACGATAATATAAAAAAATACAACTTCGCTATAAACAATTAAAAAGTCTTAAGTAATAAAAGCAATCAAATCATAAACTAGATCAAAGAAACGATTAAAAGCTTTATTCTCGAAGAAGCGATCTTAGCGGCTTTAAAAGAAAATAACACTTTTATTTAATTCTTAATAAAAAAGCTTTAAAAAATATACCGTTTATTCGACTCGAGCTTTAAGCTGTCGATAGCACGAGACTATAACAAATCTTTGCAAGCAGCTAAGCAAAAGAGCGTCTTTTTAGCGGTATAAATCAAAGAATACCGAGCTATCTATAAGTTAACGAAAATAAATAACTTTTACAAAACGACGAGTACACTCGCGATAAAAGCATTCTTAAAAGCTATTAGCGAAAAATAGTTATTAACTTAAGCATCGCTAAAGCTCGCAAAGGTTATTCGAAACGACGAGCTATTATTGCTTTAAAAGCGCACTTTCTACGACTATTTTAATTAATACGAAAGCTAAATCGAAAAGAAGACTAGCAATCCGAACTTTAACTTCTTTAGCGTATTCGCTACTTTCGAAGATCAAACTACTCGCAGCACTTCCGGAAGTGATAAAGCTAACGATATTACTTTTAAGCAGTCCGATAAACGCTCCGATAGCTTTAAAAGACTTGCTAAAGGTTTTAAGTGCTTATGCTTTAAAAAAAGAAACTACTATTAAGACGCAATCAAGTGCAAGATCTTTCGCTATTGCTTTAACGGTTTTAACGAAAGTAGATTCGCAAAGCCGAATCGAAATGATATCGTCGTTATAAAAAAAAAGCTGCAAGAGCTTAAGTTTAAAGCGCTTCGAAAAAAGATTACGAAAAAAGGTTAAGCATAGATTCAAGTCGATAAGATCGTCTTAAAAAGCAAAAAAAAGCAATCGAATAATAACGATAAATCAAAATACTTTAAAAAAGTGTTAACAACTATTATCGATCTCGAGCTCTTTAATATGTGACGACTCGTCCCTTTTGGCCATGCTGGCCTATGCCTCAGGCCTCGCCAAGGCTCCAAGCGAGCCCCTTGGCCACACATGTATATAGCTTGCTTTCAGACCTGTTCTGGTTCTGTACCTTGATATTCTAAGCACATCACCAACAATTTGTCTGAGCTTTTCGTGTCGTCACATTATATCAAGGTCAAATTTTTTTTTTCCGACCTCGAATCGACCTTTTTCTCCGTTCGGCGCGATTCGCTATAGCCTTTCAATTCGAGTCGTTGTACCGCTCCACGCTACAGCTAATTCTTATTGCACCGCTATTACCGCACTTATCGCCTCTATCGAGCGACCTTTATTCGAGCTCTCCTTCCCTTTCTTTTAATCAGACAATTTCCTTGCTACGGCGAGAAAGCCTATTCCGAGCAGCATATTATAAAACTCGACGCACGGCAACCCTCCCCCTAGATTTTTCCTGCTGAACACTAAGTAATTGTTCAATCGACAATACGACACGGATCTCTTTACCGAGCCTTTCTGTTCAAGAGCTTGCACTTGACTGCATTATACCTTCTTCTCTTCTTTCGATAGAACCTTATATTATCGCTATAGCACATTGGCTCCAAGACTTGGCCGATAGCAAACATCAATATACAAGGAACCTCGACCCTTGTATTCGGCAGCTCGTCCGCTCAATCTCTACGCGATATAAAGCTCTTGCCAAACCCCTTTCTTCCCTTTCGACACCTCTATCGGACAAGACTTTATCGATATATAATACTCGTCTCGCTAAGCTTTCCGAGCTGATTTTTCGACATCTTTCAGCCCCTCCTCTTCCGGACATTCAAAAAGATATCTTTGCGATCGTGCAAGATATCAAAAGGATTACAATGAATACGGAAAGCTGCGTGCTAAACGAGGTTCTAAGGATACAAACAATTGCCGATATGATAGAATGGACGGTGGACCGCCTTAATAGAGAATGATTTTGGTAACTTGAACGGAATATATACTTATACTCGAGGACGAGTGATCGCTGCGTTGCAACTCCGCTCTTTTTTACGAGAGGGGGGTAGTGTGACGACTCGTCCCTTTTGGCCATGCTGGCCTATGCCTCAGGCCTCGCCAAGGCTCTAAGCGAGCCCCTTGGCCACACATGTATATAGCTTGCTTTCAGACCTGTTCTGGTTCTGTACCTTGATATTCTAAGCACATCACCAACAGTTTGTCTGAGCTTTTCGTGTCGTCACATAATACGCTCGATAATCTTGCTTTTAACGGTCTTTATAGCACGGCTGATAATAAGCATTAGCTATTTAATAGCATTCTTTTTAATAATTGCGGCGCTATTCACTTTATTAATAATAAAAATCTCTTAAAGCTAAAGTCAATTCAACGCTCTCGCTTAACCGACTTTATCGAAGTTAAAACGAATAGTCTTTTAATCGTCGAGCGAAATACTAAAGTCTTTAAAAAAGCTTTAAACGGATTAAATAAAGCTAAGACGAAAGATTTAAAGTTAGAAAACGTCGCTATCGTTAAAAAGTTTAATATTAATATTATTTCGAAAGCTCTTTTAAGCAAAGCTAGCGTATAATACTCGAGATATAACGCAATTCTCCGTTACGAAAAAGTTAAAAAAAGCGTCGTATTAAAAAAGTTAAAGAAAAAGTTTAATCTTACGTTTTTTAAATACAAGCTATTTAATTATTTTTTACTTTAATTAATTCGTAGCTCTTTTTGCTTAATAATGTTTTTTATAACTTAAAAGCGCTTGCAAACACGCTATAAATTTTAAAAGAATAGTATTTTCCGAGCTTTAAGAAAAGATTTATTAATACTTTAATATTTACGAACAAGTCATTTAAGTAAAAAAGCGCTCGAAGCGCTAGCTTATAATGCTAAAAGAGTAAGACTTAAAAGAATTACTAAAGTTGAATATAAAGCATATACTATTACGTATGTTTAATAAGTCATATCTCGCCGCACGTTAAATAATAAAGCAGCTAAGCTATTTTACAAGATCGCTTAAGATCTATTCGACTTTCTTAACGGTTTTAACGAAAGCAAATAGTTATTAATAATTAAAGATAAATACAATAAAAAGCTATTCGGCTTTATATTAAAAGACAAGTTGCAATTGACGGTTATAAAAATGCTAAAAGAATTTAAAGCATAGACGAGACGCAAATACGGTCTTTTAATAGCTATTATGCGTTATAATAACGATTTTTCGATAATCGTAATTAACGTTATCGGCTTTATCGAATATCAAAGATAAGCGAAAGAAGTTAAGATCGAATTAAAGCTTTTATTATCTTTTAATTACGAACTTAATAAAAGAGCCGAAAAAGCTAAAAGAAAAGTAATAAAACGGTTTATTAAAATAAAAGTAAAAGTAAAGCTTTTAAAAAAGCTTTAGCTTGAAACTATATTAGCCGCTATTTACTTTTATAATATAATATTAAAAGCGAAGAGCTTTATAAAAAGTCCGAATGAAGTGCTATAGCTTTAGTTTAAATAATATTTTAAATAATACGATCTAGCGATCTTTATACGGATCGATACCGACTTAAAACTAGATTATAACGGTTTGGTTGCGTATAGCGCTCGTGCGTACTTAATAATCAAAGACCGAAAAGCTCTTCGCAATAAAAGAGCTTTTAAAATCAAACCAAAAAAATATATAAGCTATTTAGTTAGATATATAGCTTTTAATATATACAAAGTCTATATTCTTATGCTTTATAAAGTGATTATTATACGTAACGTAACGTTCGATAAAACTTAATTCTATTTTAAAAACGAAAAAAAATCGATCGGCTAATCGATTAACGAAATCAAAAGCATCGTTATTAAACTAAAAGATATTAAAGACTTTAATTAAATAAAAGACGCTTTGTTTAATATAAAAAACGTTGTAAAAGATCGCTTAAAAAAAACGAATGCAATTAATATAAAAAATGATTAGCCGTTAGACTTTATAAAAGTTAATTTAAAAAGATTTAATCAAAGCTTAAAGAATGCGATTTTATTTAATCCGAGCGATGCATAAACGTTAAAAGCTTTAATTTTAATTAAAGACTTTATAAATACGTTTATATTAAAAGCAATTGCTTTACGAAACGATTTAATAAATTTTAACGATTCGAACTATACCGCTAAACGTCTCGCTAGCTCTTTAACTAAAAGCAAAAGCGAAAGTGCTTTAAGATTGCTAAAAGCAAAGAAGAGCACTATAAACGAGCAAAAACTTAGCTTTAATAAAAGAGCGCGCATATTATACTTTTAAGTTGTTATTTAAAGCCGAAGCTCGGAAAGCTAAGCTATAAGCCGATTAACGGAAGCTTTTACGTTAATAACCGGCGGAGATTTAAACCGAATAATTAAAAAAGAGCTTTTAGACTTTTTTAAAGCGAGCATTAATAATAAGAAATTAAATTATAAACACTTTAAATAAAATTCCGATTCTAGTAAAAAGCACTTACTTATTAATAGCCGCATTAAAAAACGCGCGAAGATATACGTAAGTGTTAATAAGCTTTTTTTAAACAACTCTCGCGCTAATTCGAACCGCTATTCGCGCGTCTTAGATTTTGTATCGACTTTTTAAGCTAATAGCGAACTCGTACGCGAAGATAGCAAAGATTACGAAATATTACACGCTATTATAACAGCTGTTACTTCGTTTAAGTTGTTATTAAAACAGCTTAACTCGCAAAAACGAAAACATTTAAAACCTTTTACTTATTAAAAAAAGCTATAACGACACTTATACGGTAAAGAGTTCAAAGACGGAGCTTTTATAAAGCTAAATAATCTAAAGAAAAGGAATTGCTAAAGAGTGATTTTCGAAAGCGAAGCTAAATTAAAACTTATACTTTTTAAATAAGTGTTTATATATAAGATTAGCTCGTTTAAAAAAATCGTAAAGTTCAGATCGAAAATTATTATTAAAAGTAACTTTTAAAACGAATCTATTATTTATTTAACTTACGCGGTTACGCTAGCAGCTAGATCTTTTAAGATTATAATAACTATAATAGCTGAATTTAATTTAAAAGTAAAACAATTCGATATCGTTAACGCTTTTATCAACGCTATAAGACATACGGACAGCGTTTTAATTACGTGTTATCTCTTTAACGGTTTTAAGCAAAAAAGTATACTCGTAAAAGTCGATAAAGCTTTATATAAACTTAAAGACTCGTTAGCTTTATAATATTTCGACTTCACAAGTATACTCGATAAATTAAAGCTTATATTACTTAATAAAGAACCGTATATTTTTACGAATTTAAATAAAACAGTTTTTATAACGTTTTATATAAACGATATTTAACTTATATATTATTACTTTAATCTTTTTAAAGCGCAAAAGATTATTAACGATCTTAATAAAGCGTATAAGATCGAAGCGATAAAAGATATTAAATAGTTTCTTAATATAAAAGTCGCTCGAAACCGTTAGCGAAGAACGCTAACGCTTATGCACGACGCTTATATTAAAAAAATAGCTAAGAAATTCGAACTTACGGACGAACGCTACTTAACAACTTTATTACCGTTTTATAATTTAATTAAGAATAAAAAAATAGCTTCGCGAAAGCAAGTAAAAGAGTATTAAAAGAAAGTTAGATCTGTGTTATATATAGCGATTATACTACGCTTAAATATAGCTTTTACAGCTTTTCAACTCTTTTATTTTAATATTAATCTAAGCGCGGAACACCTTCGAGCTGTAAATTAATGTTTGCGATATTTATTTAGCTCGCGCTTTAAAAGTATTCAATATAGCTAGTTTAGCAAATCAAAGCTAGTAATAGCTTTTAACGCTTTTTACGCCGATAACGAAAAGACAAAGCGATCTTCTTAAAAGTATATTATGTTTTTGTTCGAAAGTACGATCTTTTAAAAAGCTTTAAAGTAAGATACAATTATTATATTATTTATTAAAGCGGAGCTTTTTAATATAACCCTTATAATGAAAGAGACTATGGCGCTTTAACGGTTTTTCAAAGAGCTGCACCTTCGTTTTGCGGCGCTTTAAGTAGTTTATTATAATAATTAACAAACAATTAAGCTTATAGCTAATAAAAAAAAGCGTATCTTTATTAAGCTTCGCTACGTCGATATTTATAATATATAACTGCGTTAAAAGCACTTTAAAAAGAGCTTTTAAGTTTAATATCTTTTTATTAAAAAGATGTACGCTAACGGTCTTATAAAGAATTTGACTCGATAGAAGTTTAAAAGCTTTATCAAGCTCTTAAATTTGTAAAACGCTCGCGCGTTAGTCGAGAAGCTTTAATAGCACGCATATGCTATTTACTTATTATATTTTTTTTTATTTGCACGTGATTTAAAAAAAACATTTATTTAGCAATCTTAATCGTTATTCTATCTTATCTTATACGCTTCTACCTTTCGCTTTTTATAATAAAAGATCGACCAAAGCTTTTAACAATCTTTTTATTTTAGTTCGGCGCTTCGTAAGAGTTATAGCAACGGCGGGCGCCGCCGCGAAAGCGGTAAGCGCAACGACTAGCGCAAAAGGAGCGACGACAATAAGTGCGACGAGAGCGACGGGAGCAGCGGGGGCGACGAGAGCAACAAGGGCGGCTAGCGCAAGCGCAAGGGCTGTTATAGCAGCAGATTAGAGCCTTTGTATAAAGTCCGAAAAGAAGTTCTAGTTAAAAAGAGCTGCTTAAATTAAATTATTTCGTAAGTCAAAAAGCTTGACTTACGAAAAAGTAATATACTCGAAGCGCTCCGCGTCATCGGACCACGGTTCGCTACTATAAGACTATTCAATTTAACAAGAGCTATATTCAAATTAAAAGTTTTAAAAGCAAAAGCAAAACTTGCAAAGCTATCGAGACTACTTTTAAAACCTTTACTTTTACTCGCTAGACCGCTCGGACTATTAGCAGCACCTTTTAAAAGAATAGTATTTAAAGCGAGCTATTATCGTATAGCATCTCGGAGACTCTAGCGAACTCTTTGTATAACACTACTATCTTTAGCGCTTACGAAGTTATCGAAAGCGGTATTGTAAACACCTTGCCTGATAGGGTACCTGCTATGGCCATTAAGGCTATACTAGACGGACCCATCTTTTATAAGAGGGCACACATCTCTTAGCTAGAACAATCAACGAGCTTTCCACCCACCTTTTCTGACACTTCTTTTGTAAGACCATGAGGTCTAGCTTTAAAGCTAAGCTTTTGTATAGTATATCTTTTTAAGTGCTTTTACATTAGTGACTTACGCAAGGATTCAAACCTTTAGTCTTTGTTTTTATACAGCTTATTATAATCGCTTGATTCGCAGTCAAGTTGATTTTCGTTTATCATTTAAATTTTAGCATTTCACTTTATAATTACAATATCAAAACAATTAAAACTTTATTCTCGATAAGTTCGGACATCGAAACGCTGAAATAGCCGAAGTGCAATATTTCGGCTCTTTAATAAAAACTCTTTTCTATTGTTAATAAAAAAGAATTTTCATTTATTAATGAAAATATCTTTCCGTACTTTAGTTCTTATCTTAAATTAAAGCAATTAATATAGTCCGGAGTTGTTAGCGAAGCTAATCAATTGATTTTTAAGTTTTTTATAGTTTTGATCTTGACTATTAGTTTACTTTTGCAAAAGGTCTACTCTTTTTAATTTCGGATCGAGAATACTTTGCGAAAATCGCTTATTTTACTCGTGAACCCGGTTTACGAGTTAAAATCAAATAATTTAAAAACCTTTTATTAACCCGATCTTTTTTAATATATATATATATCTGATTCTTAAAATATCGAAAACCTTTTTGAGATTTCTAATATCGAAGTCGGCGCAAAGTTATCTTTTCTTTCGTTAAAATCTTTTAAATTTATTAAATCTTTTAATCGTATTCTTATAAGCTTCGGATTATCTTTATCTTACTTCGACTTTCAATTTGAACTTTTACCGCTATTTTTATCGGAAACACTTGCTTCGGAAATGGCTTTTAAAATAAACACCGGTCTTAAGATCTATATTACTTTTTTTTTTTGCTTTTCTTGTCCTTTTATTAAGCTTTGCGCTAGTTATAATCGACCTTGCCATCTTTTACGCTTTTATGATTACTCGTATGCTATTGCTAAGTGCTTTAAAAGCTTTTTGCTTTAATAATGTTAACATCATCGATTTTATCGAGAAGTACGAAAAGACTTATGATGATTTTAATATCTTTAAAGACGATCGGTTTATTAAGCTCTTTCGTTATTGCGATAACTTTTGCAAAGAGGTTATTAAAAGCTTGCTCGAATAGAAAGCTAAGAAAGATTAAGCTGCTTTCGTTAAGGCTTTAAGAGCCGAGTTTTATAAAAACGATACTTAGTAGATCAAGGACTCGATCGCTTTTTTACGGGAATTTGCTATGCAAGAACAAGATGTTAACGACTTGAAAAACTATTGTTGCACTTTCTTTCGGGTCTTCGAAAGGCTTACTTTTATGCACCTCTTAAGCAAGACCGAACAAGGCCGCTTGTTCTTTTTCGGATTGCTCGTCGGAATCCGAAACAAGACAATTAAGTATTGCAAAGTCGACGAACTCGACTTAGACTTTTATACCGCTTTCGACGACTTCGTTGCATTCGCTTTTAAAACCGATTAGAATGCTAAGACTATCGAAGTTATAAATCGAGAAAAGTCTCTTTTAGTTAACTTTATTAAAGATATTCGGACCTTGGTTAAAGAACATATCGAATTAGCTAGCGTTCTTAAGTCTGTTAAGAAAGCCTTAGTAATAATGCCGTTTACTCGTGAATTACGGTTTACGAGTAAAAAAGAGGAAATTGATAAAGTAAGTTCTATGATTAAGAAGTTTTTTAACTTGCAGATTAATGCAATTTATAATCGAATTGATTACTTCGAAGATTAAGTCGCTAACTTAACTTCTCGACGCTTTATTTAATCTTAACTTTAAGTTCGATTCGAAGACCGCGACGAAGCTTTTATTAAGTATACCGCTTAAGATGCTCGAAGTAGAGTCAGCTTCGGAAGTAAGGTTTAGATTGTTATTATCGGCTACGGATTATAAAGACGAAGAAGAAAAAAAAGTAGAAAATATAAGAATTAGATGTAAGATTATAGCTTTTACGAGAACTCCGAAGATATAACTTAAGCTTTTTATTAATATCGAGATGAATGTAAAGTCTTTAAGGATATAGTTAATAAAAGATGTATTCATATTAATGATTACGGACGCTTTTGCTTAAGGCTTAAAAGGATCGGCGCTTTTATTATTTAAAAGAAGCAAAGAAAGACTTAGTTTAGATCTATCGTTTTAAATGTTCGTAAGACGGAATACGACAACATTTTAAAGAATCGACTTATTAGCGGACTTAAGACTTATAAATACTTGCTCTTTTATTAATAACTAATCTAACAGCTAGCTTAGTACTAGCCCGATCAAAATGCTTAGCAACCAATTAATTAGCTAAAAGAGCTTATCATTATCTTTAAAAGATTAATCGACATTAAGAATATTAACGTTGTAAAGTGGATTAATACGCTTAGCTACTTATTTAGTATAAAGGTTGCTTCGGTCGAGATTAACGCTGCCGTAAAAGATAAAGCTAAGAAGTCTTTTTTACTTTCGAAAGGATCTAAGCTTATTAAGATCAAGAAGAATGTCCGATAATAAAAAGAGAAGAATTACGGCACTTTTAAAGCTCGTGCTTTTTAAGAATCGAGTACTGCTATAAAGATAGACTTAAAAGACGAGTTATTCGATAATGTAATTGGAAAAAAGTCTTTTAGACTTTCTAGATTAATTAAAGCCGACGAAGCTATAAAGGATATAGAAGGAAAGGTTGAGATCACTTAGCGAGTGCTAAAAAAAAAGAAGAAAAAGACTTACAAACGAAAGAAGTTTATTAACTTTTACGTTATTATTAAAGCTTAAGAAAAAGCAGTAGCGGCGATTATAAAATCAAGAATCGAAGTTTAGATTAAAGACTTGTTTGGACTTAGCTTTCGCTTCGACAAGCTATTAAGCTATTACATTTTAATAGTTCTCGATATTAAGAAAAACGTGAAGGTCTTTTAAAGTAAGCTTATTCTTATGAACGCTTTAATTATTAGACGTTTAAGTCGGAATAAAAAAGGCAAGCTAGACTTTTTAGCGACGCAAATTCGCAAACAACTTATCGCTCGCAATTGCTTCGAAGTAGCGATAAAGACTTTAAAAGTTTTTATTAATATCAACGGTATAATTAAGAGCAGATCCTTCTTTAATAGCGGATCTAAGGTTAACGTAATGAATAAAGAAGTGATTAAGATAGCTAAACTATTTATTATAACGGATCGAGTTTTAGTTTATATTATCGTGTTCGAGGATTTTTATAACTTCGATAAGTAGATAAACGACGTCGAAGTTATTATTAGCGGAATCATTAATTACGCCGATTTTTTTATTATTAATAATAATAGTTACGAAGTCATTTTAAGTATACTTTTCTTCTTAGAATCTTAACTCTTTTTCTTTTACTTTGATAATAGCACGATAAAAGCCTTTTTTTAAAATTACGATCGATTTACTTAAAGACAAATTACTATTGCAAAAGACAAGTCGGATTTAGTCGAAGACTCGGAAAACTAGTAGCTAGTATGCAAGCTAAGATAGATGCTAAGCTAGAAGGAAGCTTAAAAGGAAATTCCGCTCGTAAACTATAATTTACGAGTAGATCGGCACAAAAACAATAAAATTATAAAAAAACAATTCAACTTAATATTAAGCAAAGCTTATTAAAATTAAAAATATTAAAAATATTTGCAATCAAACTCGATAAATCGGAAAATTTTATGTTTATTATCGATAACGATAAAAACTTTTTAAAAAAGAATATAATAGAAGTTAATACGATATACAAAAAGAAGGCGGAGAAGGTCAGACCGGTGGATTTAAGAGTATCGGATGGAAAGATACTTAAAGGAATCGACGATTAGTTTAAGCAAGATAAGAAAGCGAGACCTTTTAAACTTAGAAAACCTTTTTCGGAATACTTTATTAGCAAGTTTTTAGACTTAAAGGTTGGATTAAGATTAACGAAAGAACGATTCAAAGCATTTACGATTAGCTTTTAAGTCACTTCGGAAGAGAGAAAGCTGCTTTATTAATGCTTTTTGAATCGAAAAGAAGCGATAGCTTAAGATTTTACTTATCTTAACTAAGTTTAAAAGGAAGTCATGCTACTTTAAAAGATTAAAACGGTGCTTTACGAAGCTTAGCAAAAGAAAACGTTTATCGTGCCGAAAGCTTTATAAGAAATAGTCATCTTTATGTTAAAAGAACGATTAAAGCAAAAGGTTTTCGAATTATGCTAAAGCTTTTATCGGAACAAATGGTTTATTATAGCAAAGAAAAAAAAAAGAAAATATAAGCTGATTATTATTATAATTAAGATGAACCGTATGACGATCAAGGACGCTAATGTTGCTTCGAACGTAAACTAGTTTTTAAATGAATTTGCCGGTCTTACGATAGCTATACTTTTAGACTTTTTTTTTAAATACGATTAATTCTTTTTCGACGTTGAATTTAAAGATATAACAATTATTTAAACGCTTATCGGACTGCTTTAGATAACTCGGATACTTATAAGAGCAATTAATTCGATTGCTTAATTCGTTAAAATAATTTATAAGATCTTTATAAATTGCATTCTTAACGTCTGTTTGCTTTACATAGATGACGTAAAAGTCAAAAGATCTCGATCTTTTTATAATTATAAAGAAGTTTTGCTTAAAATACGACGATTCGTTTTAAAACATATTTAAAACATCGATAAAGTGTTCGTAAGGTTTAAAAGAGCTAAGACGACCGTCGGAACGAAGTTTTAATACTATATGCTTAGCTTTAATATCGTTAGATTCGTTACGGATAGCGAAAGACGCTACTTTTAAACCGCTAAAATTAAGAAGATATTAGAATAGATTAAGTGCGAAGATGTATCGGAAGCGCGAGCTTTTATTAAGATCGTAGTTTATTATAAAATCTAGATTAAAAACTTCTTTACGATTATTGTTTTAATTTACGCGATTATAAGAAAAGAGGTCGAATTCGAGTGGTTAAAGCC